ATGGCGGAAAAAAGAAAATCAGTGCGGAGAAGGTCTACGGCAAAACTGAAACCAAGCCATTCGCACAGAATGCATATTTATTGAATTTTCTATAGGGTCATCTATCACTGTTGCACTCGTGTCTCGCAATTATGAATTAATGTAAGTTCAACTTTTAAAAAACATGTCTCAAGACTTTATGGCGGTTTTTCCCCATCCCACTGTATCTCATGTTTTTAAATTAAGAAAGTAGCCTACTCTTTGTGATTGGTTTTCGGTCCTTTGTATTAAACTATACATACATGCATGGTGCTGGTTTTTTTTTCTAATTGTTTAAGCAACTTTATTCATTATATATGGTTTATAAACATTATTTTAAACATTATGCACTTTTTTTTCAAAGAGAGTCATGTTATTTTATTACGCTTTGAAGAAACGTGCATAATATTTTGTGCGATGCGCCATCTTGTGGCCTCAGGAGAGAAGCCAAAAGCTTTTTTTCCCCTAACTGAAATTATGCCTTTTAAATTCGAATATAATTCGAATTTTCATCATATTTAAGTAGAAAATTCGAATTTAGTTTTTCAGTCATTTTGACAGCCCTACATTCTATGGAAAAGAGCAGTTTAATTATTTGTGTTTCATTTAAGGAAGAAAGTCTTACAGGTTTGGAATGGCATCATCTTTTTGGGGGGTGAACAATTGCTACTCAACCTGACTTAAAGGGATAGTTTGCCCAAAAAAATTAAATTTTGTCATCATTTACTGAAGTTTTCATACAATGGAAGAACAGTTTTCATACTGTGGAAGTCAGTACCAAACCAAACATTTTTGGTTACCAACTTTCTTCAAAATATCCTCTTTTACAATTCACAGAGGAAAGAAAGTCATACAAATTTGGAATGACATCAGGATGAGTAAATGATGACACAATTTTCATTTTGGGGTGAATGGTATAGTATGTGGCAACATTTCATTTGGGTCTAAATCCTTTACATGCTTCAGTTTCTCCAAAGGCTCTATTCAGGAATTATATTAGATGAGTAGATGTAGATGAGTAAGATATTTCTAGAGCATGTCAGACTTTTAAGTGCTGCGTTGTCTTCAGGCATGGCATTATCACGCTACAAGCGCTGTCTGAGTCCAACAGGAGACTCTGGCTGGAAGCTATGGATGGCAAAGAGCCGGTGAGTCCTGAAGCTAATTTCTTGCCTGATTTAATACAATCTTGACATAGTTGTCATCATTTGCTCCTGTATTGATTCAAGCTTCAGAAGATCCTCAAGCTCAGGTATTTTTGTCAGAACATGTAAAAATCGATACGCCATTTATCTGAAATTTCATTGCTCAACAAGTAATTCTTGATTCACTTAATATAATAATTTTTTTTCTCTTTCAGATCTACAACCTTCCTGCTATTCTGAGCAAGAAAGAGGAGAGTAAGTATTTAAGTCTTTAAGCATAGCCACAGTGTTATTAATTCATTCATTTTATTTTATATTACATCTTGCCTATTTGTATTTTTTCAGTCAGAGTGAGCTTAATGTTTTGAGTCTGACCTCACATGCTCTCATCAGATTAACTGTGTTTAACAAACACTCGTTCAGATAATGGGTTCTGTTTCCCTTCACTACACCCTTTGTGTGTCTCTGCTCTCTCATTTCCTTTTACAAGGTCGATCGCATTACATTTAGCACAACCGGAGTAAGCCGTATCCCCCAGACTGTGACACAAGCTAAATCTATCTATTGAACATGTTGTTTCTGTTCACCTGTCTTTTGTAGCATGTTTAAACGAAGCTGGCTTTAATTTTGTGAGGAAGTGTATACAGCTGGTGGAGGTGAGAGGTGAGTTGTGTGTTTCCTGGAGTACTGATTTCCTCTTATTTCATGTATAGGATATTTATTGTGGCTAAAACATTCCAATTGTTTTTTTTAATGTACTGTATATGTTCTCCTTTCAGCAGGGCTCAACACTATGGGTTTGTACAGAGTCGGTGGAATAAACTCAAAAGTTCAGAAACTCATGACCACGGTATTCTGTAAGTTACTTCACTCTACAAGACATTATACATTGCTTTTATTTTGGATTAGCAGTTTTCCATGGGTCAGACACCTTTAAATATGACCCAAGCATTTGCACACAAATAATGTTGTACATGTTCCTGGTTTTCTCTTACAGCACCCAAAGCAGCATCAGATATGGATCTTGACCCAGATACCTGGGACAACAAGACCATCACCAGCGGCCTCAAGAATTATCTCAGGTTAGTGTGTTCTTCTAGTGTGTTCCTTAGTAGGTTTTTCTACATGTTACAGGCTGATGTTATTACTTCTTATGGAGATTCAAAACACTAGTGGTAACTGTACATTCAGGAAAATTACACTGAAATAGAGTGTACCTTTCTTAATTTGAGAGAGCTGAAAATAACCAAAAGTTTTTTCTGAGAGAAGAGCTAACAAGATGTAATTCTCGTCTCCGTCCACCAGGTGTCTTTCTGAGCCTCTCATGACATACAAGCTCCACTCAGACTTCCTCTTGGCTGTCAGTAAGTTACAAAGCTTTTGAATTGCATGTTAAACATTAACACACTGAAAATGTATTTATGTATATATTTGTGTTCAGTGGTGCCTGCAGGTGCACGGCTGTATCCACTGTGTGTACTATGAGCACCCTTACAGACCTGACAGACAAACATTTTCACATTTTTCTTGCAAATATTTCAGCAGTTATTGTTTGTGTCCCGTATTTCTGTCAAATGAACAATCATTTGTGATTTAATCATTCTTTTGAGTCATTTCTCTCTTTGCTAACTGAGGGCAATCGCAAAACGGTTGATTGGCATTTGTTTGCTCTCTGAATCACATAGATGGAGCGTGTGCAGGCTGGGCAAGCCTGGAAAATTCCACCAAATTGAACAAAAATGCCCCTGCACCACTAAACTAAATCTATTATAGTCTAGGTGGTATGTGGAAAAAAAATTTTACTTTTTCATAAAAGCATGAAACTTGGTACAGTTTGCAGCCCTGAACATTTTCAGAAATGAAGCCATTGCAAAAATGCCTTGTGGTCGCCATTTTACTTTCCGCCATAACCAAATTATGTATTATATCTCCTGAACCAAACATGATAACACAGAAAAGGTGATGTCTACCCCTGTTTTTATGTATTACAATGATATCATATACAATAGGGTGACCATACGTGCCATTTTCCCAGGACGCGTTCTTGCCAGGATTTGTTTTGGCTTTGTTTTTTCCTGTTTTCATGCTTGCTGAAGGTAATGATCGAAAAGTAGTTTGACCAATAACATGCAGGCATTGTACATAATGGACCAATCATGGTGTGTGTGAGAAGGTGGGATCTACAGTCAAAGCGATGCAATTACGCATACATAGGATGTGTGTTCGACTTAAAAGCAGTGCGGCTCAGATCGATCAGTGTTTGACATCAAAATACCTCGAGAGCATTTTGAAAGCATAAGGAACCGTCTGTATAGTATTTTGATGTCATACACCGATCAGTCTGCACACGCAAACAAAGCCAAAACCTAGATATTTTAGGCAATATAGAAATCCTGGCCAGGACGCGTCCTGGGAAAATGGCACGTATGGTCACCCTAAGATACA